TAATAAACCAAAATACAGTTTCAAAGAAAATTAATTTTATTTAGAAATTCTGCTCCAGTCCTGCCTCGTTCCTCACAATGAAGAAAATTAATTCAGATACAAAACTTTCAATTCAGTTTCAATTTAGTGAAACTTATTTTCAAACCAATTCATTCAATTTCGTATTCTGCACATTCAGATTCAATCGGAGCAATTCTAATTCAACTCCTGCTGGTACAAGATTTATTCCACAGAGGGGGCGTGGCTCTACCTGTGCGGTTGTTGATCCAGATGAGGCTCTCCAAGCAAACGGAGGAAGTGTTGCCCACAGCGACTGTGAGTGGAACCTGCCACTGTAAGCTGCAGAGACACACAGAGAGGAGAGTGAGGGGCAGCGGGATTAGATTGTTTTCAGAGACTGATGGTCGCTGACGACCTCTGGGCATCAGTCAGCTTGAAATGAGGCGAGCGACACTCTGAGCTGCTGCAGGAGGAAGTCAGGGTGTAATAGCTGCAGCTGTCGGCACACATCAGTCAGGTGAAAGCAGCTGAAGGTTTTTGTCTGTTTCAGGCACTCAGAACAAGCAGGAAGTGAACGATCCTTTCCCGCTCCGCTGAACGCTGCAAACTTTAAATCCTTTGGAAAAACAATCAGATGATCACAGATCGGCTCGTTGGACTTTAATGAGGTTGTTTTTTTCTTTTCTGTTTAAAATGTTGACATTTAGGAGGTAAATGGAWTTTAAATGGACAGAATCATCCAACTCTGCAAACACAACAAGTTCTAATTAAAGACCAGGAAGTGAGAAGAATCACAAGTTTATCTATATGTTTTAGTTTGAATTCTTCACATGGAATCACTTCCTGTTAGACTCTTAGAGTCTGGGTCTGAGGAGGTCACATGTCCTGAGCAAGTAGATGAATTTTATTATACTTTTAACCAATGACTTTATATTTTAACTGATCTGTCTTGTAGTGCAATCATTATGTACAAGTTCTGTTTGTAAATGACAACATGCAGTTAGTACGCCTCATCTAGCTAACATGACAACAGGCTAACAGTTAATACGCCATCATCTAGCTAACATGACAACATGCTAACAGTTAGTACGCCATCATCTAGCTAACATGACCACATGCTAACAGTTAATACGCCATCATCTAGCTAACATGACAACATGCTAACAGTTAATACGCCATCATCTAGCTAACATGACAACATGCTAACAGTTAATACGCCATCATCTAGCTAACATGACAACATGCTAACAGTTAATACGCCATCATCTAGCTAACATGACAACATGCTAACAGTTAATACGCCATCATCTAGCTAACATGACAACATGCTAACAGTTAACACACCATCATCTAGCTAACATGACAACATGCTAACAGTTAATACGCCATCA